CTTGGAAGAAAAGGAGACAAATGTTTTTACAAGCATCCTACAATGCCACAAATTATTTATACTGTCATTCAAGTCATGTTACTCCTATTTCTCACAATGTAAAAAGTGGAATACTTAACTTATCATTTGGTATGTGACTGCAGGGAACAAAATTCTACTATAAACTAAGATGAATGCAACCCTGTGGCTCAGATCCCAAATGTCAGTGACAATCACATTCCTGATTTTTAAGATGTGGAGAATTCAGGCCAGGGATATAGCTCAGTGGCATAAGTGCTTGCCTGGCCAGCCTAAGATCATGAGTTCGATTCCCAGTACCAAAAGAAAAAAAAAAAAAAAAAAGGTAAGAATATGCAAATTTGGGCCGGGGATATAGTTCAGTGGCGCAAGCGCTTACTTGGCTAGTGTGAGGTCGTGAGTTCAATTCCCAGTTCCAAAAAAAAAAGATGTGGACAGACTGTGCCTCCTCGTTTCAGCTTTCAAGTTTGACAGGGCCAGGGACTATCATTTGCATATCAGGACAGAATGTCAAATCACGCAGAAGACCAGTTCTACTGTGTGGACCTGGATTTCCTGATTGCACATACACCAAATGCATGAGACACACAGCAAATCAGCACCTTCTGCCTCACATGTGACTGTTACTCTCCTTGCTGGCTTTACAAGTGTGGGGATTTCAGGTCTCCGCCTCCCTTTAAACTTGTCTGTATTTATTTTTCCTTGAACCACCTCTGAGGAAAACCAGAGATATTTCAGCGTGCTGTTCAGGTTACCTTCATTTGCTTTGCACATAGTGGAATTGAACACATATAACTGGTAAAGCTAAACATCTACTCCTTTAAGTTCCCCATGGGACCCTTTCAAGAAGGCTGGTGTGTGTCCTGGCCCCAACCCACTTCTGTGATTCCCCGTGACAGCTCTGTCCTGGCCATTGTCTGCCCAGCAAGTTTCTCTTCTCTGAGTGCTCAGGTGCTTGGGCCAGCACACACACCCTAAAACACACAGTTAGCACAGCCAATGGCTGCCAGCAGGGTAAGCTGGGTGGGGATGAAGGCAGCAGAATACGACAGAGGCAGGAGATGCATCACCAGGCAACCTTCACCTTATTCAAGTACCCCAAGTGACACCTGTCACTGCCAAGCACTCTGAATACACCAGAAGTCTTATGCAAACATGAAAAACTTTCTGAGCTTTTAGTCCTAAGTATATTGGAACATACTTATTATTCCTTAGGCTGGTGCAGTAATTGGGAGTGAAAATGGAAAGTGAATCTCATGATACATAACTTAGCGACATTAAAGTTACACTGATCTATTAAAGAAAAAACAGTGCTTAAACATGACAAACTGTAGGTTTCTTCCAAATCATTACTATAATGAGCAAGAATGAAACTGAATTTTAAAAAAAATTGGAGATAAACTATCTCAAAAATATGTGCATATACAAAGGAGAAATCAATTTTGAGTGATAAATAAGGAAATTATCAGAAGAACATAAAATTAAACAAAGGTCAGGTCTAAGACAATAACCACCAATGAGAGTAATTTGTGAAGACTGATGAGAAGACATGGCTTTGCTGAGACTTTGAGGATTTTTACTAAGAACAGTCAGCAAAACAAAGCTGACACAGGAAAGTCTGAAAGTTTCAGATACAGACTGGAAGCAGAGGAACTTCGCCCAAATGGGGAGACGATGGCAGAATTCCAAAGTTCACTACAAATGTCATCCCCAGCAGACATCTCCACATGGGAGCAAATTATTTACAGCAGAATCAAGGAGCCTCTGAGGAAATGAAATAAAAATAAAACAAATAAGAACAAAATAAAACAAGGGAATAAACACAAACCAGGTCATGCTACCCCGGACTCTGGGGCCTCCTCACCCTCCAGCCCCATCACTCAGTTCTGCAGGGAGAAAAAGATTTTTTCACCCATCACTAGGCTCAAGGCTGAGGAACTATATGACAGAGGAATGAGAATACAAATTGATGTAACACAAGTTTTATGTGACACTAAAAACTTAAAGATGAAGTCCCAAGTAAGCAGATGAGCCTGTGTCCCTACGCTAGGAAGAGGCAGATGTCAGTGGGCAAGTCCACCAGACAAAGGGTGCGGCCAGACAGTGATGAACTGGAGGACATCAAAAGGCCTCTCACTTGGCCTCTTCCTTGTGTCACTGTGTCAGAGACAAGGATGCTCCTTTTCTCTAGATGTAGAGAGGAGACACCTTTGGAATGAGGGTCTATGACCCCCTTGAGACTACAGGAGCAACAGGAATTTGGGGGGGGCCTTCTTGCTTCTGCTGTTTCCTCTAAGGCCAAGGAGCCATATTTGGAGGATGTGTCCTGAGCCCCCTTGGCTCCTGACTCTAGCTTGACATCACCTGTGAGAAGCCTAGGTCCCCTCTGGAACAGCAGGGTCACCATGGCTGTGGGCTCCCCCACCATCTGCACTATGCTGCACAACAGATTCCTGTCCCAGTGTGACAGTGACAAAGTACCACACAGGGAAGGCTCATACCATAGAGACTGATCCTCGCACAGCTCTGCAGGCCAAAATTCTGAAGTCAAGGTAGTGAAGTGTCATGTTCCTCCAAAGCATGAGGATTTTATTCTCTTCTCCATGTCTGTCTTTGGCATTTGAGGACAACCTTGGCCAACCTTGATTTATAGACCACCAGCCTAGTCTCTGCCTTTACTAGTTCATGGCCATCTTCTCCCTGGGGGTCTCCTCATGTTATAAGAACATCAGACACATAGGATATAAGGCTCCCCCTACTCCAGTATACCCTCATCTTAACTTATGACTTCATTACATCTGCAAAAACCCTATTTCTAAGGAAGATGATGCTCATAGACACCAGAAGTTAGGATTTCAATGTATCTGTTGGTGGACAAAATTAAACCTGCAACAGACATGCTAACAAAACACTCATGTAAAGTTGAATCTCCTTGTATTGAAGTCCTTACCCCAGGACTCAGATGCAGCTCCTAAGAACAAGGGTAAGGTCAGTTTTTTGTGGTTTTTTTTTTTTTTTTTTTTTTTTTTTTTTTTTTTTTTTTTTTTTTTTGTTTTTCTCTGGTACTGGGAACCGAACTCACGACCTTGCACATGCCAGGCAGGCGCTTTTGGCGTTGAGCTAAATCCCCAGCCCCAGGTAAGGTCAGTTTGACTGCTTCATAGAAATTATCTTTTCCCATCCAAATTGGTCTAGTGTTCTGAAACCAAGTTCACGTTCTACCTAATCTCGGGTTGCTAATTTTTGCCAGAAATCTCTGGCCTGTCCACTCCAAACAGGTCATGTCATTCTGGTCCTAAAGGCAAAACAAAGTCAAGTGGGCCAGTTCTAGAGTGACTCCAGCTGGGGCTCCAAGGCATCCTGCCCTGCATTCACAGTTAGCAAGGATTCCATGCTCTGCCTACAGAACCACCCATTTCAGAGGAAGGTGACTCAGCCAGCATCTTGGGGCCCAGCTAGCCTCAAGAGCAAAATTTCTTTAAAATCATATGTTTTATTAAAATCCCTCCTGATTCCCCTTACATTCCTTGAGGTGTTTAATTCCACCTTTGGGTAAGGTCTTTTATCCATATCTTCAGTGCCATCAATGCCCAAGAAATCTACATTGTCTCTTTCAAGGCTCTTATTTCTCATAAGACGGGGTTGCTTCCCCCCTTAGGAAAGCAAGGGCCTTTCTGTGCACCCAAAGGTGCAGTGCTGCATTTGACCTTCTCAACCACCCTGAGCTAAAGTAAGAAATATAAATAACCTGATTAGAATTGAGCTAAGGAACTGAGTCGGGGTTTCTCAAAACATGGACAGACTCTCGACAAGTATATGAGAAGCGCTGAACATCACCAACCATCAGGGAAACACAAATGTGGAGCACAATGAGATGTCACCTCACACCTGTTGGGATGGCTGTGATCCAAAGACAAAAGAGATCATGTTAGTGAAGACCTGGAGAAAAGGGAACCATTACACACTATTTGGAATGTAAATGTACAGCTGTAAAACAGAAATGGAAAGCAGTATGGACCCCCTCAAAAAGTTAAAAATAAAATTACTGTATGATCCAGCAATCCCACTCCCACGCACATTTGGAGGAAATGAAATCCACATCTCAAAGAGATAACTGTCCCACCTACCACCACTGGGTTCACTACAGTATTAATCACAACAGACAAGACATGGAAACCATGCACTCCTGGATAGAAAAAAATGAGGAATATAAATAACATAAATACACACACAGTGGAGTGTTACTCAGCTTTAAGAAAGAAGAAAATCCTATCCTTTGTGACAACATGAATGAATCAAAGGACACTATGCAAATCAAATAAACTAGACACAGAAGAATAAATTTTGTACAATCTCACTTTTATGTAAAGTCTAAAAAATGAAATTACAGCTTAAAATTCATAATAGCAGAAAGTAAGTAGAATAGGAGTTGTCAAGGCCTGGGAGGAGGGGAAATAGAGGGATGTTGATCAAAGAGTACAAAGGTTCAATTAGGCAGGATGAGAAGTTCTGGAGAGTGAATTTAGCACAGTGACAGTAGTTAATATTGCGCTCAATGCTCGAAATTTGCTAAGAGAGTTCATCTTATATATCCTCATTGTAAGTATGCGAGATGATGAGTTATGTTAGCTTAATTGTGGAAATCATTTCACAAAGTATACATATATCAAAACATCATGTTGCATAACATACATGCACATACACACAATTTTAAAATTTAAATTTCAAGTATAACTCAATAAAGCTGGAAAATAAAATGATAGAGAATACTGCATTTTCATACTCATAATTTAACAATTTAGAAGAAATGGCCTATTTCTCAAAAATGAAAAACTATCAAATCTTGTCCAGGATGGGGAAGATAACCTCAATGATCTTTATTGTTGTTGCTGCTGTTGTTGTTGTTTTGCAATCGGGTTTAACTATGTAGCCTGCCTAGCCTCAAACCCATGGCAGTCCTCCTGCCTCAGTCTCTCAAGTTC